CCAGAGACAGCATGCGAGAGAGAGAGATGGTGTCCCATGGCACTTGGAGAGATCCCCCTTTCCATTTCTAACAGATGGGGGGGGGAAAACCTAACAGCACAGCTTGCATTCTTTATTAGAGAAAGGGAGCAAGAGTCCTGTAGCAACTTAACAATTAACAAAATTTGTGGCTAGGCATGAACTTTCATGAGTCACTTCTCACTTCTTCATATACAGCTAAAATGTGAGTTCATCTGTCCTTATGTTTTGGAGAGTGGAGTGATTTTAGATGCCAAATGACAGTCGCGGGAACTCGTAATGAGAGAAGAAATCTAGGTCTCAATTCATTCCAGAAGGATGCATTGTCTTGAGCTTCATTATCAGTTGCAAAATTTGTGGTAGGGTATGTGCTTTTGTGAGTCACTGCTCACTTCTTCAGACTTATTTCCATTCTTTGCATCCTCCTGGACTGAATCCTCCTGTACCACATTGAGACCTAGGTTACCTGTCTCATTACCAATGCTGATATCTCCATGCCTACTACCCCTCAGCATATCACACCTAATCCAATCAAGCCTGCTATTGCCATTCCACATCTGAAATAGCCTTTATACAGTTTATCTCTCCTAGCATTACATTTTACGGCACACATGGCCCAGCCCGACAAAGTGACATTTATGTCAGATCTGGCCCTTGTAACCAATGAGTTCAACACCTCTGGTCTAAATAGTTTCCTCCCCAAACATTTTTTATTAGTATGTGTATGATTTCCCACAATAGGGAACATAGCTGCTTGGGAAAGTGGTACAGGGGGAAAGGGTTAAGCATCCCCCATAATGCCACAGCTCCTATTTGATCCTCACCCCCTTCAATGACTGCTTTAAACTTTAAAAAGTGGGAGATCCTGATCATGGATCATCTCTAGTTTGGCCCTCACCTATGAAGCTCACTGGCAGACCAACCTGGTCAGGATGCATGGCCTTGAACAAAGTATTAACAACCAATCAGAAGTCATACAAAGTTAAACACTGCTGTGAACTGTTATAGAGGAAGCATGGGATGCAGTGACAAATGTCCGCATTGCCCTATGCAGTCTCCAAGTATTAAACCTGCACTGGTGGCATAAAGTCATGACTTGATATTACTAACAGTGAGCTTATTCCCCATCCTAAGCTTTTATTTGGTGGCCTGGCAAATCTTAGAAAGAAGCGGGCACTTCAGAGATCTACAGTGCCGTCCTTTACCCAATACACTAATTACTTAAAAAAAATAGGTTTAATAAATCATTTATATATTGTCTTCTGCTTTGCTTTTAACATATTAGCTTAAAAGATCCATATCCGAGACGAACGTGACATTTACACACTTGGAGAAAGTTGAGAATGAAGAGACGTATAACAACATTTGCTGCTTTTTTGATGGCTCTGCAAACATCCCATTCAGACTGAGCAGAGGCGAAGCTCTTATCACATTTGAAGAAGAAAGTGGTATGAAGAGTATATTTCATCACAAGACTAGAAAGAGTCTTGGGTTAAACAAGTTCTTTCATTCATATGTAAGGAAAGGTTAAGAACATAAGAACATAATAGAGCCTGCTGAATCAGTTCCTTGGTCCATCTAGTCCAGCATCCTGTTTCACACAGGCAGCCAACCAGTTGCCTTCGAGGGCCAAACAAACAGGGCACAGAGGCTGACACTTTCCTCTGATGCTGCCTTCCAGCCTTGGTATTCAGAGGTTTGCTGCCTCTGAACATGGGTTCCCTGTAGTTTACCATGGCCAGCAACAATTGATGGACCTCTCTGAATATGGCTAACCCTGTTTAAAAGCCATCTGTGCCCATGGCCATCATTATGTCCCACTGGCAATGAATTCCAGATTAATTACTCATTGAGTAAAGAAGTATTTCCTTTTGTCTGTCCTGAATCTATTTCCCATCAGCTTCATTGGGCACCCCCAAGTTCTAGTATTAAAGGAGAGGGAGAAAAAACTCTCTGTTCGCTAGCTGTAAGCACTTATTGTTCTTTTACCTTTCTGTATCTTCTATATAATTTTTGATAAAATAATGTATATGGAATAATGAAATGTAGATCATATAATTGTCAAGGTTTTTATTGAGATTTGTCTTTGAAATTGCATGAGAAGTACCTTGAGCTGTGTGCCTTGAGCTGATCTCTAGCAGGCAGGCAGGCAGGCAGGCAGGCAGGCAGGCAGGCAGGCAGTCAGGCATCAAGGAGACAACAAGAAGCCTTATGGAAGCTGTTTGACCACCAAAGCTTCTACACTTCTGGAGGCTTATATTTTATTTATTTATTTATTTTTGGGATTTATATCCCGCCCTACCCATACGGCCTCTTATATAAGAGGCTGGGATCCCTGGCTTTCCCGAAAGCCTGGCTAGAGCCTGGCTCCTGGCATGAACTACTGCACCTCAACTTTTTGGGAAAGGCTGGAGGAGTGAGGCAGATCCAAGGCTGTACATTGTAGGTTCCTTCATGGGGTACCTGCCTGCGCTCTAGTCATCCTTCGTCTCTAATCCCAAGGCTCTAGGGAAGCCCTTGTGGGTGCAGGACCTTGTCAGAGTTCTTACAGTGGCTCCACAAGGTGGTGCCTGCAGGGTGCAGGAGCTCCTTCCGTGGTTCCTGGCCTGTTGGCTCTCTGGGGGAAGAGTCGAGACCTGATTGCTGGAGAAGGATGATGGGTTTGCCAGAAAGAGCGTTCAGAAGGGCCTGCTGCTAGGAGCTCTCGGGGCCTGAGAGGGACTCCTTGTCCTCCAAAGAGTCTGCCTGAGTGGAACTGGAGTACTCCATGACACCATGTCTTCCATAGGTGGAAAAGAGAGTAGGGACACAATTGCTTTCACTTAATGCAAACAGGCAATGAGGAATAATTTTAGCCCTTTCATTTGTGCAAGAACTTATGCATATGCAGAAATCTTCCATGGGGTCCAATCCTGTAATGGCATCTGCTGTGGAAAAGGAGGGATATGGGTTGGATCCAACCAGCTTTGCTGCTAGTGAAAAAGGAAGGATGGGTCTCATTTGATGACTAAAATGTTATTCTGGGGACCATGGTATTTGTATGTGCAAAAGCCACATGGGATGGGTCCTTTAGTAGTGAGGGGAACTGGGTGAGTGTTCTCTGGTTTGGTGCAAGCAAGGAGATAACACAAGGTGAGATTCTTAACATAGAGCTTTATTCTTCCGTCTGTCCTACAGCCTACTTTCTCCTCTTGCTTCTCTTCTCCCCTTTCCTTTTAGTATTGAGGGATCTAATCTGCCCAGTAACAGACTATGGTGTCCCTAATGGGGCAGACTTCTAAACTTCAAATTATGCAAGCTACAGCCGTTAAAAACAAGTGAGAGAGTTTAGAAAAACAAAAAACCCTACTTGGATCCATCCCTACTGAGCTTTCCTTATCCAGAAAAACTGCTGCTTGGTGTGTTGTGTGTATTCCCGCAACAAGCATTCCATCACTCAGGAACTTTTTTGAGGTACACAGTCTTAAGAACCCATGAGTCCATGATCATGTAAATGATGTGCTGCCCTTTCAGTTGCCCAGGAACTGCTCCAGAAGTCTCAACATACTGTGAAACTGGAGAATGCAGACACCGTTGTGAGAGCCCGGCCTGTCGAACTAGAGATGGGAATAACATTTCAGGTAACTGAGAAGTCATTATGAAAGGTTTTCAGAGGACCTAATACAGAGGTTGTCCTAATACATACTTTTTTAAAAAAAGAGCTGTAATCTAATGCATACTCGCTTGGAAGTAAATCTGATTTACCTTGGTGGGACTCATTTCTGTGTAAACATGCATTGTACTGGGCTCCATCACTTTGTCTTGAGTGACACAGATGTGAATGTTCTTGGAGTCCAGTACTGGTAAGGAAATTGTCCATGGGACTGGGAGGGACCCACATAGTAATCTGTGTCAGACATTACACCAAGGATTCTCATTTAATTAATTCTATTTAAATTTCATGATACTTTAGTCACAGTTTTTGTAATCTTAGAATATTCTCACCTCAGAATCAGATGCTTTCCCCAGCTTTTGTTTCCCTGGGAAAGACCCTGGAAACTTTGGGGGAAGTGAAAATACCTGTACTATTTACATTTTTATGAACCCTATAGTTATTTGACTACATAGAGAACATATATTGCATCATTCAGCGTTGCATATAAAACTGAATTGTTGGCATATTTATGACATTTGAAACAATAAATGCCTTAGTTTTGTTCAAATGAAATTGCAGATATGCCCCGCGGGAAAGAGAGAGAGAGCACAGTCTGGAAACTGGTGCCTCCTTTGGTAGCTAAGAACATCACCTTTGATAGCCGAAATGAATATCTTCTCCCCTGCAGCTTTGCTACCCACAATGACAGTACTTTGCATGCTGGGCCCCCCTGGCTGCTGTGCAGCTTCCCTCGTTGCCCCTGCCCTCTGCAGCTGTTGCAGCCACAGCAGTGACTCTGGAGGCAATGGTGAGGGACAGAGGTTGACTGCCATGCAACTGCCCTGCCCTGGCATTGGGCAACTGTGTTGAGGCAAGGGGAACAGGGAGAGGGGGCACTGCGCACAGTGCCTGCCCACTTGCCTACTCACTAAGCTAGCAGGTGTTGTGCAGCACCCATCTCTTCGTCCCGGTTGCCTGCAGTCTGTGTAGCAGCCATTCTCATACTATGTGCTGCCCACTCCTGCCACAGCAAACAGCTCACAGGTGATAAGGTACGTGATGGTGGGAATAAAGAGGGTTGTAGGGGGGCATCCTTGACTTTTGCCCAGGGCCCCAGTGGTGCTCTGTCTTCTTGGTGCTTGGAGGATCAACAGTGGGAGGCTTCTAATGTCCTGGCCCCACTGGTGGACCTCCTGGTGGCACCTAGTATTTTTGGCCACTGTGTGACAGAGTTTTGGACTGGATGGGCCTTTGGCCTGATCCAACATTGGTGTCTCTTATGTTCTTATGTATCCCTAAGACCACCAGTGCTTATTTCTCACAGTCCTTTCAGGAGATAGGTGAAACAGGTGACCACAGAAGGTTAGAGCAAGAGAAGGGAGTCAGCATCTTCACAGAAGTCACCAGAGAAAGTCAAGAGCAACCTACAAGTGTAGGAGACCTCGCATCGTTCATCTCATGATGGTGGCGGCCAGTGTTCCCTCTAAGCTGAGTTAGTGTGAGCTAGCTCACAGTTTTCTATTCTTCAGCTCACAGATTTTTATCTTAGCTCAGGAAGGATGGATCCAGAGCAAACTAATTTATGCAGTAGCCAAATTGCTCGCTCACAAGACTCCACAGTTTAGAGGGAGCAAAGCACCTTCTAAGTGCAGAAAATATCTACAATATACACAAGAGTGGTCATTATGCTATAGATTATGCTACATAAAATTGTCTTACATAAAAATCTTTATACTACACAGCTGTTAGAATTTGTTTCAGTGATTAAAACCTTATCATAAATATTTTACTAATTCCAGGACAAAATATTATGAAGGCAATCCTCAAAATTTCAAATGAATTTGTTGGTTTTTTTAAAAAAAGTTATTAGGGAAAAATGGGGGCATAAGTTTTCTTCCTTGACGTCTAGTTGTTGTGCTCTAATCCAGATTTACAGACATACTTTATCCCTTACTGTTAAATTTTTGATGAATTTCCAGTTCTGCAGCTGCAGTTGGCCTTCCTTGTCCAGGCAGTGAGAATAGAATCTTGCCTATGGAATTTAATGGCATGATCGTGGTAATTTTTGGTGCTCTGAGCAAACATGTGTATCCTTCTGGATTTTATTTCAATGTATGATTTTGAAACTGGCTTGAATCCCCCCCCCCAGCTCCATGTTAAAATTTCTCAAAGGAAGATTAATGTTTCTAACATCCCCAATCTACGGATCCCTGATGAATGGGTAAGAGACAAGTTGGAACTGAATTTCAGCAAAACTAAACGGGGAGGAGGAGAAGTGCAGGATGTGACATATGACAGACGGTCCCAGATGGCCCTCATTACATTTGCCCAGCCTGGAGGTAATTTCTGAAACATTTCATTGATTAATTTTACAGGATCTGATTCCCTTTTGACAATGTTGCTTTGGCATTGCCATTTTCAGTTGTTACTGTGTGATTTCATGTATTGATAAAGTAATCCAAGATCGGAATTTATGGGTCTGATTTTATGAGCAAGAATTTCAGTAAACTTTACTTGTGATAACTTGGATACAAAGCATAACGCCATTCACTTCACAACTGGGAGCTGTATGCCAAGTGCAGTTTCTTCTGTCATGTTTCACTGAGAAGAAACTCAGTCTGCTGCAATATGTAATTCTTAGAAGCAGTTGGAACAGGCTTTAAGGCAGTGGACCCTGACTGGGTAGTGATAGTGGACATTCAGTATCACATGGGAGTGTGGCTAGCGTATAATCACCTGCTTGCCACCTTTCTGAACTATTTGCTAAATTCACAAATTATGGAATCTGTTTGGAGGATTCCCAACCTAGATCAGTTTTGTTGAATGAGGAAGTACCCTTTCTGTTTACTCTGCTACTCAAGAAGACTCTGTGCGGGAACAAAGGAACTTTAAAAACTTTTCTGAAATTCATATGGGCATTTTCATACATGCTGATAAATGCACTTTCAGCCCACTTGCAACTGGATTTTACTGTGTGAAACGGCACTGAAAGTGGATTGAAAATGCATTATTCTCTCTGTGTGTGAAAGTGCCAATAGCTCTCCATCCTTTTTGAATTCATTGCAGAACTCTTGTATTATTTTCTCATTTTTACCTTTCTTCTTCTTATGCTCCACCTCAGAGCAAAACTATATGAGAAGAGGGGGACCCTTGCTCAGAACTCAGACCATGCATTTCCCAGCAACTGGTTTAGTGTGCCTCTCGTTCTCAACATTGTGAAGCTTTTAATGTCTAAACAATACCCCTTTCTTGTGCTTACTCTGTAGCTCCACATTTGAATCTGTGTCAGTTATGTCTTAACCTGCATTTCATAAAAGGAAATTGAAAAAACTAATGATGTTCTCCCCCACCATAACTGTTCTCTCAGCTCATTCTCTGATATCTTTAGATTGTAAGCCTGCAGGCAGAGAGAACAGCAACACTTAGTACTTTGGAGGGCAGTTAAAATTAAACAATAACAACTATTATTATTATTTGTCATAAAACTGTGTCTATTTCAAAAGCACTGAACAATTTAGACACTAAATATTAACAAAAGATAGAGAATGGTTTTGCAGCAGTCTCTGGACTATTGGGGTGGAAGCTGTTCACTGGTGACTAGCGGTGTGCATTCGGACCTACCTGAGCCAAAAAGATACCCCAAAAATATATTATCAGTATTTTGGGGGTATATTTTGGCTTCCCAAATGTATCAGGCTTTCTAAGGAAAACTGGGGGGGAGGGACCCTGAAAAAATTCCCCATGCATATCCCGGGGCCAGCTTCTCCTGCAGCGTGGCTTAAACTGTACTGCAAAAGAAGTCAAGCCAGCCCTAGGATCGGGCTGGCTTTTTTATCGGTTTTTTTCTTTATAGGTCTATTGGACCCCCCCCAAAATGGGATTTCTGAAAAATTCTGGATCATACCGATATTGAGATCTGGAATTTTTTGGAAACACTGAATTTTTTTCGGGTCCAGTTGAACTGAACTGAAAAATAGTGATTAAAAAAATTGCACACCCCTACTGGTGACAAATTTCCATGTCTCCCTTTTTGTGCACCAACATACTCAGACACAAACTATCTCAAATGATAGCTTTTTATACTGCTTTGAAAGTGCCTGCTGAAATGAGGGTTGCCAGATGACGAATGCAGGGATTGTTTTGGGGTTTTGCCTATAAAATGTCACCTTGGCCTCCCTGTGTCCTCTGTCCTTTCTTTATACCTGTCAGTAACCATGTGGGTCCCCTTCCCCTCAGCTGCTGTTCAGTGGTGATAGGCCGAACACTACTACTTACTTGTATTGTAGTGAAATTTGTCCTTTGAGATGGGAAAGTAGACAGTCATGTTCTGTTTAGTTTTTCCTTCAGTTTAATTGTTTTCAGCCATAGTCCTGTTGATTTTAAGTGCTTGGAAATGGTCCTGTGCTTTGGTATTCAATAACTGTTGGTATTGGTAATAAATATTAGTTCCAGTTTTAAAAAGCATCCAGACTTAACAACAGATAGAGCCATTCTAAATATACTGTTTTGGATCTAATCCTGTATGATATTAACAGTGCAGACTGGAGTAACTCTATGTAGAGCTTCTCTGTGTTTCTCTTCAGAGGTATTTGGGTGTATTGTGTTTCCTCATTTCTTTATTTTCTTTTAAATTCTAGTTGCTAACAACATTGTGAAATGGGCAGAGTACCCTTTCCATACAAGTGAACAGACATATATAGTTACAATTTCCCCTGTTGTAGAAAAGTACCTGGAAAGATTTGAGGTAAGTCAATAGTACCAGGATGGGTAAACTGGAGGTAGTAATCAGTCTGACCTACATGTATCACCACATTCTATGCATATTTAACTGGAAGCACACATCTGCTAAATTCAGTGGGAATTCTTCCTACATGGGTGCACAGATTTTCAGCCTCAGTATGTAAGAATAGCTGTTTTCCTTTCCCCTTTCCTGGCAGCACATTTCTTCACACATAATAGGACAAAAGGGCTGAGTTTCCAGTATTAGGAAGGAAACTAAATGTCAGAGGTGTTCCTAAAAGGGTTGACATTCCTGCGTGTTCACTGAAGTCAAATTTGCATATCATGCACTATTAAGAAATTAAAGGCAAGTTCCTGACTGTGAAGCCGGCACAGAAAAAAATAGCTGATTGTAGAATCAAAGAACCCTCTCTCCTACTATGATGTTGTTTGACGACAGCCTTTCAGGCTGGGAGATGGCTAATTTGAGAATTCCAGAGGTGTACAATGTTAGTCTATTGTAGTAAAAGAAAACAGTCCAGTGGCATCTTGAAGTTGAAGAGTATTCATTCCCACATGAGCTTTTGTCATCCAGAGCACACGTCTTCAGGAGCGATGGGAAGAAAACTGGAGATTTTTATAACCACAAAATTTATGACAGGATTCACACAAAGCCACTTTCTGCCCCAGGGCTCCCCCCCCCCCCCTTCTGTGATTTTTGGTTATAAAAATCTCCAAAATGAATTCCTTCCCATAGCATTTGAGGAAGCGAGCTGTGGCTCATGGTGGAATACATGTTGTTAGGTGCTACTTGAACATCTCTTCTATATAACTTGAGAAATACCAAGATTGGTTTCTAGAGAATGAAGTGGATGGGTTTACAACTCTTAGGAATTCTTGAAAAGTTTACAGGTTTCCCTTTATTCTGCTGGGCAGTAATGAGGGCTTGAGACACTGGGAGGGGACATGTATACATTTTGTTTGTTTGTTTCTAAAACTCCAAGCAACAGTCTGGTACAGTTACTTGGACAATGGCTTCAAGAGCCAAAAGCCACCTGACCTGCAGCACTCAGTCACATCAAAGAATCGTGGTTCTCCCTTTTGTTTTTTGCAAAGCAGTTAAAGCATCAGCAGTTTGTACATTCCTGCCTCAGTGATCTCCATATTCTGTTTAATCACCACTAAACTTACCTCACGGCAGCTCACCCAAAGCCTACACACTCGCTACCTTTAGAATGCCTGGTAACTGAGGGGAAGGTTTATAATTTAAAATAAACCTGGTTCCCCCAAATTCATAGGAGGCTTTGTAGGTCCCCTCAGTTGATAGAAATGGCCTGTCACAAATTGGTGGTAGTGGTGGGATGTAGACAAAAGTTTCACAAACTGTTACCCAAGTTGGTGAAATACGAAGATAAAAAATATTTTAAGACATTTTGTGAGGTAATTTTTTTGTTAAAATGTTTCCTAAGTGAATAAAAGCACTCGAGAGGACTCTTGAGTCTTCTCTAACTCATGTATATCTTTAACTGGGTTGCTACCTCCACCCCATTCCAGAGAGCAGTCATGTTCTGACAAGAGGGCTGGATCTTAGAGGGGTCTTAAAGCTGTCAGAGCCTCTGAGTATAATGATGGTAAGTCTGAGGCTGCAGTCCTGAGAGTGTGTTCCACAGAGCTCAGTAGAATTATTTCTGGGCAAAGGAGTTCAGGCTGGACCTGCTAGTTTCTGTAGTGCTGCAAATCAGTACTGGCAAGGGATTTATAGACTTTTAAAAAACTACAATGAACAGAACAGTGGGATGAGCTCTTGGTTCTCAACAGCAGCACTACATCAATTTCTTTCTGGAACAAGTATATGCAGTATGCTTTTTTCTCCCCTTCCCTTTTGTCAGATGTTTTCAGGAATACCCAAGAGGACATTATTGTTGACAGACATTGAGGACATGGCGGAAGATGAAGAGAACATTCAGGATATGATAGCAATCCACTTCCAGAAACCCAGTAATGGTGGCGGGGAAGTTGAATACATCAGATACATTTCAGAAGGAACCAAAGTCGCTTACTTTGAGACAGATATGGAGAATGTTATATGACAGGCTGTGACCGAAACCTACCTCACTTTCACCTTTTTGCCATGTGTTTCACAGAACAATTTTAATTATCCTGTAATTTTGACTATTTGCCCTTGACAGTGTCCCATTCACCACCAATGCAAATGTCTGTGATCCAGCTTGCAGTTAGTCATGGCTAAGTCCCTTAGAAGCAGGAGGGTTCATTTGTCATAACTAGCCTGTTGGTTTTAGCTACCCAGTGCCTTAATTTTGTTTACCTGCAATGGCATTGTGGCTGTTCAAGCGATTGGGAGATGGAATGCCACAAGTAATAATGGGGAGAGGTGCTTTATGGTCTGCAAGTATCTGAGCATGGGTGTGCTACTCTGCAAGCAATATCTTCAGTCTCTGTTTATTACATCACTTAATCCAAAATCCAGTCACATATTGTTAATATAGGTTCACATGCTTCAAGTACACAAGAACCATGAAAATGATTACAGGGGTATAGGCAATATCTCTGTGCATGCAGAGGAGTGCTGGTGAGTCCCTGGAGGTTTCTCAGCCCTTTCCCCCCATATCTTTCTGTTCCCCATGGAACCCACTCCTTGTTGGGGTACAAGGAGTTGTATTCAGAAGGGAGAATCTAGAGATCTCTAGTACATATGAGGAAGTACTTGGATTCATGCCTCAGACTTGTTCATTCTCTTCCCACACCTGTATTGCTTTGCAATAGCTTTTATTCTGAGTGATGTCATTAATACACAGTCAAGGTTCTTGGAAGCTTTGACCATGTTATAGAATATAGGATCTGCCCATTCACATCTGCTATGTACTGTCTTGGGAGTTGAACGCAATTATGTTTTTAAGAGATTAACACAGCAGACCTTCTTTCCTGTCATGGTGGGAGCAATGGCACTATGCAATTCTTCCTGTTCAGGTTTGGTGGTGATCGCCCCCCACCACACAAACCCAAAATCTCAAACTCTGTCTACAGTGGCCTTTTGATTGTGTTTTTCTGGCCAGAGCTTCTTTCTTAGAGTAAATGAGCCAAATTCCTTCGAATTTACTTTGTTCTTCCCAATAAACATTTTCTTTAAATATTTATTTATGGCTCTGAAAAGTTCATTTTATTTATATCCTGCCTCCATATTCCTTAGGGCAGCATTCACTTATGATTGTCCTGCATTTCCTCACAATGAGCTTGTGAAGTAGGTTAGGGTGAGACGTTTCAAGCTTTGATCTCACTAGTATACCTTCAGAGGAGCCACGCTGAAAATGCTATCCATGTCATGACCAAAGAACTTCAAACCTAAAGTTATAAAGTAATTATTTTGCTGGGAAGTATTTGTCCAAAGTAATTATTTGTTTAACATTCTATTTTCTGTCTTTAATTAGGCAACAGCACATTTTGAATGGGCAAAACAAGTATCTTCCAATCTCCCCTCCCACACAAGGAATAAACTCTCCATCAAGCCACTTTGTAGGGATGTGCTAAAAGGAAGGACAGGATTGACCATTGGAAACAGTGGAAGAGACTTGAAGGCCCATTGGAAATAATGGGAGCCAGGAATGCCTATTAACTTGCACGGGCTCCATTGAAATATATTACGGTACAAGTAGAGTTGCAAATAAAATGCAGAATGGATTTTCCATTAAGGTCTCTGGGCCCAAATAGACTACTCTGGGACTGGAACGAGAGGCCCCAGAGTGGAATGACAGCCCCTGGAAGTAGCAAGAGTGTTCTGGAACTGGAATGAGAGACCACAAACAGGAATGACAGCCCCTGAAAATAGCAGGAGTATTCTGGGACTTGGAATCATAGGCCCAAGAGTGGATTGATAGCCCCTGGGGGTAGCAGGAGTGTTCTCGGACTGGAATGACAGCCCCTGGGGGTAGCAGATGTGTTCTGGGACTGGAATGATAGTCCTCAGAGTGGAATGACAGCCCCTGGAAGTAGCAGGAGTATTCTGGGACTGGAATGAGCGACTACAAAGTAGAGTGACAGCCCCTGGGGGTACAGGAATGTTCTGGGTCTTGGATGATAGGCCCCAGAGTGGAATGACAGCCCCTGAGGGTAGCAGATGTGTTCTGGGACTCGAATGACAGGACCTAAAGTGGAATGACAGCCCCTGGAAGTAGCAGGGGTGTTCTGGTGTGCACTTCTTTCCTTAATCAAGGGAGGATGACAGCTCGCCCCAGCTTGTCTCATACGACACTACCTTTAAACTTGGGGTTTTCTATTTGTCTCCCATAGTGATGAGAAATATCACACCGAAAGGTGATCCAGTATTCCCTTTAGCTTTCCTGCTTCATAAGAAGAAATTTATGTCCTACCATCAAGATTTCCTGTGTGAAATACTTAACAAAATTGGGTATAGATAATATGAAGGACATACCATTTGTGACTGATAGAGAAAGGGGTATTGTACAGCCTTTGCAAATGAACTTCCCATAAATCCCAAATGTATATTGCAGAAATCATTATGAGAGATGTTAGCATCTGGATTAAAAAGCATGGAGGGAATAACAATGATCTTGAGGTTTTCAAAGACCATTGCACTACTTTTGAATTCAGAATCACAGGAAGAATATCAACACAAGTATGAACAGTGCAGCATCCTGTGGAACCAGCCTTTCAAACAATACTTTGATAAGGAACTAAAGGACAGCATACCAAAACATGCAGTCAGGTTTTTTACTCAAAAATTTGCAGCCTTCAGAAATGATGTAACAGCATCCTATAACATCAACGAAAGCATAAACAGGGTCATAAAGAATAAACTGGATTGGAAGGAAATGCCCGCAAATTGCTTGGCACTTGCTATGTATTATATGCAAACTTTTTTTCTTTATTAATTCAAATGGGCATATTGCGGTCTTGGAAATTATTCGCTCAAGGAACAGTTTTCCCACTTGCAAAAAACAACAGGAGAGTCACAGTTTCCACCTTTCTATGTTTTGGAAGCAATTGTTGACAATATAAAATCAAGTAAGCCCCTCCAAAGATAGGTGTGGCAAAGGCTGAGGGTTACAGAAAAAGTCAAATTTCCCTGGCCCAACTCTATATAGACTCTGGGGGAGTTGCCCTCTGCCCTCAGAGTGCTACCTTTACTGTAAGAGAAATCAACAGCAGCAAAATGCAGGCTGTGAAACTCCTTCCAGAACCTGCCGTCTGTTCCTGTGCCAGTACTGGTTGCTGTTACCATATTATTGCAGCTGCAATGTCAATAGACTATGTGGAGAAAGCTGACAAACTTATTCTCTGTCCACGCTTCTGAAAAAAAGGAAAGGCAGATCTCAAAAATCAGGAAGAAAAAAGACAAGAGTGGGGGACTATGATTATAGCATTGTACCATCAGCTGATTCAGTTCTGGGCTCATCACAATATGCAGTTGCTGAGTTTGGCACGGGTGAGAATAAGAGTATACTGGCTATTTCAGAAATTGAAGGAACACAGACTCCAGGTTCTCCATTACAAGATGCATTGCCAACACATTCGACTCCAAAAGCAGAAGGGTGAGATGCAGGAGAATCCTAGGAATCAAGCAACCATAGAAATGGACAGAAATTTGTTTAACAGCATACCTTCCAATATCAGAGAGTCACTGAAGCCTGGAGCATGGCTCTGTGATGATACCATAGAGGAAGCCACTACCAATTTCATCAGCCAAAGAAATCTGAATGAAAAGATTTTACTCAGTCCAACATCTATATATAAAACTGGCTCTGGGCAAACCCAGTATTTTTTTATCCATTTCTAGATCGCACAATGGCTTTCAACAAGGACATTTTTCTCCTTCCTTTCAACACTAATTTATATACCACTGGACTTCATTGGATACCAGGCATAATAATCTTCAAGACAAGAGAAATTATCATTGTTGATTCAGCAAAAGATCGGGATCAATCACAGCAACATACCTTGTTGTCAACTGCTGCAACATGTCATCAAATAGCAGGTGTTCCTTTTAGGCATGCAGAGTGGAAAATCATATTTTGTGTGGACACTGTTCAGCAGAACAATTGTTATGACTGTGGAGTATACACCACATTGAATGCCTATAGCGTGATTTCAGGAGAAGAATATGGTACCTTATGCAGTGAACTTGCCATAAACTGGATAGGAGTAAACATTGGTTTGCACAGGAATTGCAAATGTAGGAGGAACACAAAACAAAAACAGTTTCCAAGTTCCTACCAGAAATTACACCATCAACTTCTTTCCATGGCTATCAAAGTACACATACAGGAACAACATCCTCTACAGTACTTTTTGTCATTAGCCGATAAAGATACCAGCAGATGGTCAACCTGCCCAGAGTTCACACCAGAAGACTGCATGGTGTTCTGCTGCAGCTGCAGACAATGGTATCATGCAGCTTGCCTACCACCAGCTGCCATCAGAATGCCAAAATACACTAGGGATAATATTAAACAAGTTTTATTCAACAGTTAATACTGTATGGGCAAATTTTCATTTGTGAATCCTCCTTGTAATTGCCATACTGAACAGAGGGTAGGAGTGTGTGTCGAGAGGTGGAGGCCAGGGGTGTCAAAGGGAAGGCAGGAAGCAGAGAACTGTTCACCTGTGCCTGAGACAAGCCAGAGGGAATCAGAGTGCATGTGAGGATGGGTAAATAGCGTGACATGCTATAAAGAGATGAGATATTAAATCTTCATACATTAAAGAACACTTCACCTAGAACAGGGGTCCCCAGTGTGGTGCTCATAGGCACTATGGCACCCGCCAACACTGTTCCTTGACCCCACCAAATGTTTTAAGAAAGTGGGTGAGGACAGGTGAGACTTCAGCCCAGCAAGGCTTCTGATTGGCTGTGCCGATTTTAAACTGCCCCTATGTTACGTGGATCGTCAGTATGTGACTGAAGGTATGCTGCAGCCATCCTTTCCTGGCTGGTTCCGCCTCCTGCAGCAATCATTTTGTGTCTGCACCGAGCAAGCTGTGTCAGAATTACAAAGGTGCCACAGGCTCAAAAAGGTTGCAGACCCCTGAGCTAGATTACGGGTTGGGATTTTTCACAGAAACTATGGAGGGCGTGCTTCTTGTCAAAGAACAGAGGGAGGGGTGGCTTCCTTCCTTCCTTCCTTCCTTCCTTCTTCCCTTCCTGTCTTCCTCTTCCTCTCTCATGGGGGGGGGGGGGGCGCCGCGCCAGACGGTAGCCTCGCCTAGTGTGCAAAACCTGGAGCCGGCCCTGTGGGCCTTCAAGTCTCTCCCATTGTTTCCAATGGACAGTTCTGTCCTACCTTTTAGTACATCTCCCTTTTGGATCTGCAGTAGGGCGCTCTTGACCACAAAAACTGACTCCAGAATAAAATAGTGTTAGTTTTTAAGGTCCTTCAACACACCTTTTTGATGCAACAAACTAACTTGGCTACCCATTTGCCATGATCATATTCATTTGAAGATTTTCTAAGCAACCTGACCCAGAATCCACAAATAGATGTATGTATGTCCTATTAAAAGAACACAGGTGCTGGTTAACCTACAAGGTGCTGCATCTTGAATTTCTGCATACAGTGTGAGGCACCCTGGGGAAAGAGAATGGTACATATGGAGAGATACTCTGGTAATTGAGAAGGTTATATTTCATATTAATGGCTATATCTTAGCTCCTCAATTCCCCGCCGGTGGCGAGGGGGGCGTGGCGACGGTAGACCTAACTGGCCAGAAGAATCATAATGTCCCATATAGAATGTTAAGAGCAGCACATACTAGTGCGTAGAAATTGCATCGAATGATACAAGTTCGACTGATTTGGAAAAACAGGAACGTTTTAGATGGACAGTGAAAACCTTTCCCTTTCCTTCCTCTAAAAAACATTAAGTTTAATTAAAACATTTACTCTCAGCTGAAGTAAAACCGGGCGCGGCTCCTCCAGGCATCCGTTCTGTCTAGAGAACGCAGCTTCTTGGGTCTCGTAGTTGATCTTCCCCCATTGTAGCGCTTCTTATTGGCCTCTAAGTCCCAGTGAACTACACTTCCCAGCATACACTCTGCCACACGCCCTTTGGTTTCCCGGAAACCAAACGAAAACAAAAATTGCATTTCTCGGGGAAGGTGGGGGTGATCGCGAGGTGACATCTGCGGAGTTATGGCAAGTGCGAGTGTTTCATTTAATGTTATCTTTTCATGTTACTGCCAGCACTGCTGTGAGTTGCGGAAGTTTTGCGTCCGGATGCATGTCGTTCACGTTGCCTGTCTCTTCCCCCATTTCCCTTCTAATTTCAAGCTAAAACAATCGCAGTAGATCTCGAGTCCGTGCAAAGGAGCAGACTACCTCCAGAGAAACTTTTCTTACTCCGGAGAACTCTGGCTGTCGGCTTGATCTTGCTCCATGCTCCCCCTCCCCCAGTCAAGTGCAGAATTGTGATAAAACTAACGGTCGTCTGTGTTGGCTCTGTTTTACGGAACGCGTTTTAACTTTTTCGTCTAGATTGCTGTAGAACTGACATTAATGATGAAACCCTATAGTGTAATGACTAAGAAACACGGCTTTCCTTTGTTATGAGGCCTCTGTGACTTGTGCTAACTATCTGCACCTGGTTTTACTTGTCTGAAAAGCATAAATTGTCCAGTGAAGACAATAGCATTCGTAGGGTGTAATTCTGTTTAGGATTGTGGTTGTGGTAAGCTTCCTGGCAAGCAGGGATTTGAATTTAGGTAGGGTTACCATATTTTGAAAAGCCAAAAAAGGACACATCTTTCCCGACTGACTACTTCAAACAAATGATCACTATGACAAATCTCATTTTAAATATCCCTGCTATTTAAGCTGTGATAGAGCCCAAAAGAGGATGGACACCATCTAACAAGAGGACATCTAGTAACCCTAATTTAGGTCTCTAGGCCCCAGGTTGGCACTCTAACCACTGTGGCACGCTGTCTCTCACTGGCTGTTGTTATTGAAAACAAAAATAAGTGTTTGTGTGGGAGGGAATGAAGTAGAGAAAAAATATTGTTGGGTATAAAGGGAAAACCCATATGCTAAATCATCTTGTTTTATGGACAAAACCAACAGGTGTTTTTTTTTTTTTGGGGGGGGTTATTTAGCTCCTCCTCTGCTGTGTACTTGCTGAATTAAGGTACCCCTGAGCTTCTTATACTCTTTAAGAAAGCTTCCCCAGTGAGGATAAAAGCAGCTTGGGACTGGTGAACAGGTCAAGAGTTCCCCCCCACCCCTGAAAAAGCAGCCTGGCAATTACATTTGCAAAAGAAAATGAATTTGAAAAAATATATAAATTGTAGTTTAATCCTAAATGGGCATTTGAACCTGTATGTCCCATGCTAGTGAACTGTGTCATGGTGCGGTTAATCTTCAGGCTTGTTTTGAATGGATCCTGCTTGTGCTGTTCTTATTTTTCACTTTCTTACACATGTAAAGAGCTGCGGTGGCCCAAGTGGTTAAGACGCTGAACTGCAGGCTGTGGAAAGTCAGTAGTTCAGCAGTTCGAGACCCGAGTTGCCACATGATGGAGTGAGCTGCCATCTCTAGTTCCAGCTCCTGCCAATCTAGCAGTTCGAAAGCAAGAAATTGCAAGTAGATAAATAGGTACCACTTCGGTGGGAAGGTAACAGCATTCCGTGAGCCTTGGTGTTTAGTCATGCCGGCCACATGACCACGGAAACGTCTTCGGACAGCGCTGGCTCTTCGGCTTTGAAACGGAGATGAGTACCGCAACCCTAGAGTCGGACTCGACTGGCTTTCGAGCAAGGGAACCTTTACCTTTACCTTTACACATATAGATGACAACACTGGGATGTGGTGGTGGGGAATTCCCAGCTTTGATGCAGAGAGGTAGCTGGGTGAGTGTAATGTCAGTAAAAATAGAACTCCCCTTCCCAACAAACAAACAGATATCTGTTGATGAGGACAGGTGGAAATATGCCAAAATAATTGGAGGAAGAGTTGTGGACAATGGCCTAGATGGGACACTGCCAGATGCCGGAGACACAGTTCATCGGCATATTGTATCAAGATACTCCTTTTGCAAAAGATGAAAACCATGAGGAACAATATCAGACCAGTGCAGATAACACAAGTTATCTTTGGGGTTCACTTGGGTACAAAACACACGAAAACAGGTGACATTGACATATCCTTTGTCAGAGAGAACCACACAGCCTCTGTTTTGTAGCCTGTGGAGCATGGGGGATATATATGGATTTGGTTCATTCCTTCCGTTTCCCCACTAGTCCAATGGGACCTTTGGTTGAGGACAGCGGCAGTTTCCTTCTTGGCTGGCACCCTTCTCATTCCTCCTGCATTGATCTTTCTTTTGCCCTCTTCCGCCCTGCCTGCAAAGTAGCCGGCAGTCTGAAATTGGATGAATTACTATTCACCATCTCTTTTCTTCGGATATGTGTTGTTAAAATTTTAATGATTTTATCTGGTTGTGTTTTATGGATACTGTACATCGCCTGGAGCCCAGCAATAGCAGGGATTGGACAATTAATACATCCAATAAATAAATAAATGCTCCGATACTTGGAGCTGTAGGACAAAAACCCATGTGGGTGAGAACGCCCTAAGCAGGGACCACCGGGCTGCACTAACACGTCTGCAGCAGTGGGAACCTGCTGATGGAAGAGGAAGGGGTTATGTTGCCTGGTTCTCCCTCTTCACTAAAGCAGCCCTGTAAGTACCCTGGGGTCCCAAGCTGCATGAAGATTTATAGGTTTAAAAACAGCCCCTTGAATTGGGCCAAGCAACAAGCAGCACTTCCAGGTTGCCGTTCCCTCCTTTTAAAGGCAGTCCTGGGGTGGGGCTGAGAAGGTGGAACCGCTCAGCCTAGATAATTAAGGTCACAACAGCTAGCTCTCTGCCTAATGACTCTAGTCCAGTGGTCTTCATTCTTTACAAGCACAGGATTGAACTGAAATCTGCAGAAAGGAAGCTTGTGTCAAGATGTCATGTGATAAAAGTGGAGGAGCCAAAGTCTCTGAACCTGCCCATGTCAAAAGGAATTCTCTCAACTGCTGAGCAAACTTGCCTTGCCATCCTGCTGCTCTTCTGAGCAGGCGTGGAAAGAGTGATGGAAAGTACAGTGCCTTTGATGATGATGATGATGATGATGATGATGATGATGATGATAATAATAATAATGGTTTTGCAAGGTCTTGTGAATAGGACTGCTAGCCAGTTGGTTGCTGTTGTATAGTTTTACCGTACAGTGCCAGTGGTCAATGCGAGCTGGGGGTGGGAAATGACAAGCCTATTCATGACCCAGCAGGTGGATCTCTTGATTCACCTGATCATCCTGTCACTCTGAAGTGGATTTTTGGGGTTGTGAAGGGGGATAAAGGAGGATATAGGAAACCCTCTATTACTTAATGTAATATAGAGAATTCTGAAAGACACAGTAAGCACCCTCCTTCCTGAATAAACAGCAGGAAAATTATCCTTGTGTTGTTATTTCCCCTCCCCATTAAATCAACAAGATCAAGTTTAATAAGAAAAGTTATCCCGTTTGTGCACAGTTTAAAATGGACATCATATACTGGAGAAAATGGCAATTACATAAGTGAATGCTTCTAGCAATTTTTAGAGTCTCTTAAAAATAGGCCTACTGTCGTCTTAGATTAAAAGTTTGTGGATAAAACCGAGAAGCTGTCTCTTTGGATCTGTTTTTCCACTCCTGCTAGAAATAATAGACAGTGATAGTTCTGATTCCTTGTCAGAAAAAAAAAATTGCCTGCCTGCAGCAGAGTTTTCAGGCTTTAGTCCTGCTGTGTTTGTCTAAATCTTCCCACTACGGCAAAGTTCTGAGGGATAGCCATTCAGTACCTTGCACAGAGATGTGACGTAAAATTGACTTTCATTGCAAGTTGTCAGCAGCTGTTGGCAGTTTCTTCCCATAAGCTGACATTCCAAATTATGTACAAAGCTATCTGCATTTTCACATCCTTAGCAGCTAGTGACATAAGTCACTCAAGAGGGGCGTGTGGAGACTTAGTACTTTCACCCAGCTCCTTTCACCTCCTCAGCCTTATCTAGAGATTTGATCCTGCGGTGGCAACTATATGTCAGCATATTGGAATGGAATGCAAGCCCATTGTAAGGCTACTAAAAAAACCCCAAACTCCAGAGCATTCCAGTGGAATGGAGGTGAACAAAGAATGTGCTTTTCCAAACAGAAATGAGATTGAAAGGCAATTTTAGGAAAAGCTTTGTGTCTCTATAAGAAGAAAGCGGAGCAGGACTGAAGATCAGCCCTTCTGAGACATGCGGAGAGGCCTTGGTCACACATCCAGTTTTTGAAGTCCCTAGTGACACGTGAAAATAAAATAAGGCATCCAAAATGGCTGAGACAAGTTGTAAAATTTATCAAAAAACCAACCAACCAACAATCGTCTGTATTTCAGGCTCTCTAGGCCGAAGTCAAATGGCTCTCCCCGCACTCTGGTTGGACATGCTGAAAATCTTACATTTCTGTGTGATAGACAATAAATTCCTGAAATAACACAATTATTTCAGCAAGGAATGTTTTTTTGCTTTAAATTCTTAAAATTGTACAGCTCAAGAGAAAAGTTAAACATGGGTGCATTTAAAAACCTCGCTTGAAAATCAGTCTTGTGGGTTTTGTTTTCTATTTATTGTCAGCAGCCGTTGTAATTACCATTGTAATTGCTTGAAAGAAAAAATATATTTAAATTACTTTAAATGTAAGCCGCCCTGAGCCCGTTCGCGGGGAGGGTGGGATATAAACCCAATAAATAAATAAATATATTAAAGAAAATAGAAAGTGAGGAATATTAATAATTTCCTCAGCAACTTTGCTCATTTGTTGTGTTTATTTTTATTTTAAAATTATTTTTATTATTTCCCCCACACACAAAGAGGACACCCCCCCCACAGCACATAAAATCTTTTAAATGACTTTTAACAATGAAGTATCAAAATCTACAAGTAGTCCTATATGCCTTTTGAAAAAAGCAAGGTCAAGTTTTTTGAGATTAGTATATGGATAATAAGATGGTTTAGGTAATCCTACTAGCGGGCAAGATAATAGGCTGGTTTCTTTTTTGCATTGTGTGATTCTGTTAATGTAGTCGCTGCCTGTACAGTTATGTCTGTGTTTGCTTCATATTTTATAGTAATACTTTGGATATTGTGGTGCAGTGCTTAGAGCACTGGAGTAGGGTCTGAGAGACTCCAGTCTGCCGTGGAAGCTTTGCTGGATGACCTTGGTCCAGTTACTTTCTCTCAACCTAACCTACCTTTGCAGGGTTGTTTTGAGGATAATGTGGGAAAAGCATGCCCTCATGTACCCTGGAGGAAGTGTAGGATACAATGCGACATAAAAGTTTTTTTGATCCAGTGTGAGCTGAGTGCTACAGATCCAGGTTCAAATACCCAGTCAGCCATGAAGCTCACTGTGTGTCCTTTGGCAATCTTTCTCAGCCTAATTTACCTCACAGGGTTGTTTTGAGTTATAAAATAGAGGAATGGAGAAACAATATATGCTACACTGGGCTTCATGGAAGAAGAGAGCAATTAAAAATGCTAAATATATATTATTTAGAACATTTTAATGCTTCCTTTTCGGGAAGCTACCCAAGGCAGCTTACAAAATCAAAACAATAAAAACAAAACAGTAAAACGTATTAAAGTTCAATATTAAAAAGCCCAACTTACAAAAACAAAACAAAACATAGCTTATAAAAACAGACAACAGATGACTTAACTTTCCAGACTAAAACAGTGTATAAAATCAGCTCCTCAATTACAAGCCTGAGTATCCAGAAATGTTTTTGTCTGGCTACTAAACGAAACTAATGTAGGCATTAGGGAAGCCCTCAAGAGGAAGGGCATTCCAGAAGTGAGGTGCCACTACTGAAAAAGCCCTGTGTCTGGTTTCTGCCTGCCTCACTTCTGAAAGTAGGGGCACAGAGAGCAGGGCTTCTGAGGTGAGATGGACACTATGGGAGGAGTGGTCCTTCAGATACCCTGGCCCTAATCCATTTATGGTTTTAAAGGTGAGAACCAGCCCTCTGAATCGTGGCCAGAAACAAATGGTAGGCAGTGCAGGTCTTTCAGCACTAGGGTGATACAGTTCCAGTATCCTGTATCTGACAATAGCCTGTCTGGTGCATAGTGGACAAGCTGACGTTTCTGGACCATTTTCAAAGGCAGCCCCATGCAAAGTGCATTACAGTAATCAAACCTGGGTGTAATCAGAGCATAGATCACTGTGTCCAGATCATGGTTTCCGAGAAACTCCTGTAGCTGGCATAGCAGCCAAAGTTGATAAAAGGCATTATGTGCTCCAGAAGAGATCTGGGCCTCTAGCTGCAGACCAGGATCTCGCAGTATCCCCAGGGTACAACCCTGTTCTTTCAGGGAGAGTGCAGCCCCCTCCAGGACAGGCTGACTCCTTGAGAAGCTTTATCAGTTACTAGTAATGCCTCGGTTTCATCTGGACTGAGCTTCAGTTTATAAATTCAGTAAATCACTGGATCTTTCTGTTTCTGTTCTGGACTTGCCTCTTCATCCTCTAGAACAGGGGTGGCCAAACTGTGGCTCGGGAGCCACATGCGGCTCTTTCACCCATATTGTGCAGCTCCTGGAAGGGCGGCTGGGGAAACTAAACATCGTTAGCAAACAAATATCATTGGACAAATAAATATCATCAATATCTGCTTTTACCGCTTTTGTTATTATTTTTGGCAGTCTTAATGTTAATAAAAAAAGCAAATTTGCATATCTCCCAGTAAAAACGTGTAATATTTGTTCATGTTTTGCGGCTCTCAAACATCTGACGTTTATTCTATGTGGCTCTTAGGTTAAGCAAGTTTGGCCACCCCTGCTCTAGAACATATTTTTGTATTTTCTCCATAGTTCTTAAAATTAGGAGAGGATCTACCATGTAAATGTTTACATCACTGGTGAAATGGTATCTACTTCTTTTCTAGGAGGAGTCCAAAGTGATCACAAGATGTGTACTTTAAGGGTGAGGACCAGAGACAGGCAGAAGTCAGTCACTGTAACTTGTACTTTTGGTGTCCCATGTATTTCTTCACAGGCCACTGCACAAGCTGCCAAGCCACAAAGAACCATTGTTGTCTGTGGTATTCCAGATGGCCGCCTAGAGGATGACGTCATGGCTGATATACTAATGATCCATTTTCAGAAGTCAAAGAATAAAGGTGGAGATGTGGAAGACATAGTCTATCCTACACCAACCAAAGGAGTTGCATACATAACATTTGAAGACAAGCAAGGTAATATCAAAGAGAGGAAATAGAATTTCAGGACCTTGTCCATAAAGCAGAATTTTATAACGTCAAATATGAAAGGGAATTCGTGTTCTGTAAATTCCAGCATTCTAAACATGCTGGCTGATCATACCTTGGTTTGAAATCTCTAGCCTTTCAGGATTTGCTGCCATTCATCAAACATATAAATGTGAGCAGGCTCTAGAGAGAGTGTTTGTGTGGGTGTTTGAAATACTCATACATGAATCAAGTCTATCCCCTGCCTGCCAGATGAGAGTTTTTGCAGCCAAGCCTTGGGGGAGTAAAATTGCTGCCAATTAATCTTGTAAAGAGACAGGCTGCTGTCTCTCTCCTCTGAATAATTTTACACAGTGCATAAAATAATCTGGAGACCGTATTGAGCAGTGGGGGACTCCCAAAGGAAAACATCAAGGTGGGAGGAAAAAACATCTGAGATATTCCAGCCCTGAGATCAGCAACAAAGCATTGCTATCTTGTATTATCTTTTTCCTCCAGGAGACAAAGTAACCTTGAATTTCTTCTCAGTTGCAGAGAATGTCGTTGCAAAAGCTGAACACAGCCTACAGGACAAGAGGCTGCCTATGGACTATCCTCTGAAAGTATCTTTGTATAGAGAAAGTGTAAGAATAACTTAACCTTTCACTTGAGAACTGTATTGTGTTATGTTCATCAAGGTCTTCTGGTTGTTAAGGATCACATTTGATAACTCTTTCTGGGGTGTGTGTGTGTATCAGCTCTCCCTTCTTCAAAGGCAATGGAGTCTCCATCCAAAGTGGACATTGGCTATTGGAGAGTTGATTGGCTGTGCAGATTTTTTAAAATGCTGCTTCAGCAGCAGCTGCCATCACAGTTTAGGGATCTTCACTGTGTGACTGAAGGTATTTCTGTGGCAGCCATTTTGTGGCTGCACCCACCATGCTACTCCAGAATCCCAAAGATGCCCACAGGGTCAAAAAGGTTGGGGACCCCGCTCTAAGGTGCTAAAGGGATCCTATTTAATTGTGGACCTTCCTGAGTTTTTTTTTAAAAAATAAGATTCCCAGTTAAGATTGGAACCACAGTGCCAAGGAAGGAAAGAGGAGAAGGTAAGTAACCCTTCTACCTCTGTGTGATTTCACCAGTTGAAGCCAGCACCCCCATCCTTCTGATTTCAGATGACTTGCCAGGGAAAGAAAACATGACAGGCAAAGAGAATGCGCCTTTCTTTGCTAATAACAAATCAGGGCAGTGGTGGTGGCTTCAACTGATGAAATCGTGTGAATGTGGAAAGTGTTTAAATCCTTTCTGCATGCCACAGACCTGATTGACTGCTTTTGACTTTGAAAAATGCTGGAAGGTCCAGTCAAAGGCCTCCCACCTTCTCATTTGTAGAGTAATCAATGCGTATGTGAACAAACCCCTGATTAGGGAGACAGTTCTTTTATGGCTTGTTAAACCATTCAGATGTCCTCCAGAATATGAAAGTCAGTCTTCCAATTTTTTGTTATCAGCATAACTCCCAGATTATATTTTTTTGGACAGCAAAGAACTGCGTCTCTGTATTCTCTCTGTTAGGGACAGTATGACTGACAAATTGTCAGCATGCATTTATTTCCTTCTTGATTTATTATTATATGGCCCTATTAATGTACATAGTGCTTTACAGAAATTAATTAAAGTTCCCTGCCCCATGGAGCTTACAGTTTAAAGTTTAGTATGGAGGAGACGGCTGAGGCAATTGGGAGTATTACAGATATCTTTGAGCTAAAAAAATAATTTGGCATTGTCTTTCAGATGTGAACAGGGTTTTTTTGTTCATTTGTTTTTGTTTTATCTGTAGGTTTTTACCTGTGTCTCTTGTCTCCTTGATTTATCTATTTTGAGAGAAAAATCCACCTTAGAAGATCTTGTGGGAGACCTTAAGAAGAATTTCCCAGTTTTGAGCTTTGGAACATTGCATCCTGATGGACAGATAACTGTGCAAGGACCATTTTCAGCAATAAGATCCCTCCAAAATAAGCTTTTGTTAAAATTATGCAGTTCTGTTTCAGAAGCAGAAGTTAAGCCTCGGAGAAGAGAGAACACAACAGATCCCAGGCCTAATACCAGGCTAGCAAAAACTGACTTATCCTTAGAAGTAAGCAATAAATTTGTTCAAAGCACCAAAAAAGAGGGATTAATTGTTGCGCTTGACACTGATATATATCTCTACATGAAAACATTCCAAGAAAAGATGTATCAAGAGAGTCTAAAAAAATGTGGGGTTATCAGTCACGTGTTCAGAGATGGTGAGGTTACCACAATCTGTTTTGACAATGACCCTGCTAGCCCAAGTGTTGGCCAGTTAGAACTAGCCAAAAATACAGTTGAAGACTTGGCAGCAAGTTTACAAAGCTGTTTGCGCAAAGAAAGATTGTCCCTAGAAGGATCTAGTAGAGCTGAGAAACGTCAACATGAACAGGCATGTGAGAGTGTAAGCTCACAGTACCCCCGTGTTCTGGTTCTTCCGTACTCAACTCACATAGATATTATAGGAACGTCTTCTGACATTTATGAGTTTATGCAGCAAGTTAATAAAATGCTAGGGCGTCTCTGAAAAGAACGCTGGAGATAGTTGCCGGATTTCTTCGGGCAGGCCTAATGTTACATTCAATATGTGGTTGCCACTGAAAATGTAAGCCTTGAGTTGACTTAAGGTACACCTACCTAAGTTGGAGTGTTACCACATCACGTGTTTCTGTTGCAGTATCACTGCATTAGTTGACGGGGTGGGAGAATGACAGAACTAAATGTCCCCAAATGAGTATACAGATGACTATACAGGACAGTCCCATGCAAGACTGACATTTTAAGCAGCAATGCCGTGTTGAATGTAATGGCTAATTCTGCCAATAAAGCATGCTCTGAAACATCTCAAGAATGACAATGAATGAACAGCAGTTGGTCATCAGAAGGGATAAAAGCTGTATAGCTTAGCATGTTTTTTTTTTTTTAAAGATGACTTGTTCTTTTGTTTCCGTCCCTTATGACCTCAGCACACTAATTACGGAGCAGTCTTGCTTCATTAAAGGTTTTTTCACAGATGTCAGAAGAAGATGTCCATTGTTTGAACAAAATGATTCAGTATTCTCAGCAGCTTCCTGTTTAGCTGGAAGTTTTCTTTTGCTGCAGTTTCTATGACTTTGTTATATAATAAGTGATATCACAACGTTGTATTTCTGGAAGTCCATACATTCTTTCTCTTAATGTTTATGCACAGTATAGAATGTTCTTGTATCCTTGTTCTGTATATAGCTTGATTTCACTGGATTAAAAACTGGTTTTATAATTCAGCGCTGCAGAGGTGTTTTGAATTAGCCCAACGTGATAATGGTTTTTCACTCTGGGCAAAGAGGAAACCGGAGACTGGCCACATGTGTGCATCCTTTTCTTCTAACGGTTCCTTTTTCTTACATCTGAATTCACTTGAAGGACTGGAAGAATGGAAGGTGGACAGTAGAGGCATGCAAAGGTCAGATCAGGAATAATTAGCAGCAAGAGATAATAAGAGATAAATACAAGCCAAAAGCATTTTGCTGGAATGCCTGTTGTGCAAGTGGGTCTACCAAACTGTTGCTCCCAACCTGTCTTTTCTCTTCAGTATCCCATTGCGTTCTGCTTGTCTTGGGTCTAAATTTAGGTTGAGTCTGTGTACTTGGGTAATGAATCTGTGCTTTGTTTAGCTGTATGGAATGCCTAGGACACAGATTAGTAGCTGGCATCTCCTAGGCAGAATTCCAGGTTCTTCCCTCTCTCCTGTGGGATGTTATCTTTTTCTCCCATTACCAACTGGCAGAAGAAGTGTGGGGTTGTGTCAAAGTAACCTCTCAGCAGACCTCTTGGAAGGAGGTTATCTATTTCAATAATATCTCCTCCAGAGACCTGTTTAAGGCAGCTCACAAAAATATGATAAAATCAAAGAAGATTATTCCTGGAATCTGACCAGTGGTCCACCTAGTCTAGTATCCTGTGTTATACAGCACCTTGCCAATTGCTCTCTAGGATCAGCAAACGGGGCGTAGAGGCTAAGGCCTCTACTTGATGTTGCCCCCAGCACTGGTGATTAGAGCCTCACTGCCTCTGAATATGGAGGTTCCATTTAATCACCAAGGGTAGCTAAAAAATAACATAATAGTCATTAAAATTAACAAACCACTTGATATCCCTCTGTCTCAGAGAGAACGGGGGAAGAATACTGAGCTATTATTCATCAATCTACAATACAGTTAACCATCCTAACAAAATCAGGGTCATGTTACACAGGTGGAGGAGGTCAATCAGCTGGTTTTCTGGTTGACCTGAATACATTGGTGGAAGAGGGCCAGGTCTGCCAAGCAGGCAATGCAGATCTGCAGAGGGGTTCAGAGTAAGATCTGGCCACAGCAAGTCCCATTCTCACACAACTAACAATTCTCCATCCAGCATGTTTTTTAAAGAATGATTCTGGCTAGAAAATTGGTGCCAGTATGATCAGGTCTCAGGAAAATGCATCAGGTAAAAGAAACAAATTGTAAAAGGAGTCTATAGTTGGTGTAGGTCTAAAGCAAACCTGAATTTGACTTGTACTAGTTTTCCTATTGCTCAGTATGGAACAGGGTGGGCGTCTGGTAAAGAGACACAGGGAAGCAAAATTGGAACACTGCAAGTGTTATAACAATGGAAAGCACAAGAGGGAGACACATACCATGCTGATGGATTTCTGGGTCTCAGAAATCTCATTCCCTACAGCTAAATCTCTATACAGATGGAATATTGCTTCCGATTAAGAATCAGTATTCTGTAGACTGCCAGAGCAGACAAAATAGTGCAAGCCATTCAAAGTGCTTTGCGACATTGTTCATAACATTAGATCAATAGGATTTTTTTCCCCTGAGGTTACAAGATGTTAGAACTAAGGTGAAATCTACATTCCTTCCACGGTTGTTTTCGTTTTTTCTTTTGCATTTGCAATAAAGAACTGTTCTTCTGCTATGAAGTTCACATCCAGAGATCCAGTTTTCAGTAAGCCCTGTGAGATATCTGAGGAGGCTGTGCAGTATGTAGGATTTGTTTTTCTCTTCCCATCAAATAGATAGGGAAGCTGCAAACTTCATGGCTGGCTGAGCTTATTGAATATAGGGTATCATATTCCAATCCACAGTTACCGTAACAGTCTGTGGTTCTCAGAATATCAGTAAGTTTCAATTTAATGTTAATCATCAAACAAGGAAGGTGGTAGGTTATATTTATCCTGAGCATATTTGAGCTGGGAGCCACCTACATCGGAAACAGAAGTATCTGGAAAACACCACAGTTTTATACAGCTGTTGCATGTTTGGAGCAAGCCATTCTTTTCAGTTGGACAACAGTCCACTTGTGTCTAATATATTTGCTAAACTATATGCCACGGCGTGGACTTTCTTAATGGGGCTTGAGTGGTGGGACGCCAAAATTGCAATTTATGTTCACAATAAAGAGCTGAGACACCAGATGCACCATGCAACGTTGGAGGGGATGGATGAGCCAGTTATGTGTACAGTGATTGAGTAATATCGCTTATGGGATTGCATATCCCTTTACTCTGAAGTTGACATAACTTTGGTCAGTCACAGCACTAAAAGAGGGGAGCCCTGCAGAGGATGTGTAGGTTCTGAGGATGCTGCCGGGTCCCCCATTCCGTTCCGATTTTATGATTTGTAAAGAAAATATAGCGGCATCAATGTGCACAGCATTTCAGTCACCGTTGCCAACCAGTATTCAAATGGTTGTCAGAGAGGGGCACAAGTCTGAGGGGAGGGGGCTTGCCCCCTTCTGCGCCCGTGTGGCACTAGCTATGTCCATATTGGCTAAAATGGCAATGAGGTCATGAACTCTCTACCACTTGGGAAAGGGAAAGTATGTAAGATTATACATAAAAATGACAACTGCTGCCCAGGGATTCTCCTTGCAAGTTGGTTCCCAATACAGTTAGCCAGCGTCTGCGCAGAGAGGGGTGAGAGAAGTTCTCTCCAGTAGGTGACCTTGGGCCAGTTACACACTCTCAGCCTAACCTACTTCACATGGTTTTTGTGAGGATAAAATGTGTCAGCTAGTGCTGCCATGTAATGGAATCTGAAGGGGGTGCTTGGCCTCCTCGTCTTCTCACTCTCCCCACTCAACCCCCCCCCCCGCTGTTTATGTTATCTGCCTAGTGGCCTTGACAGGCTGCCTCTGCCTAGTATGCTTTTCCCGTTGGGAACATAGCTGCTGCTTTTTGCCCACCCTCACGGGTGCTTGCTTATTGGGCTTAACACATCAGGGGGGGTCTGGTTTGAAGGGGGTATAATTGTAACCACTATTTTGATACCCATCATTCCTGACGGGAGCATTCATGGTATCTCCAGTACTAACCTCAATAAACAGAAACTTACCCAGGAACGTTGTTGAGTGTTTGACTGGAAAGCCTGACAAATGGAGAAGAGGGAGAATTATGTTAGCCACCTTGGGTCCTCATTGTGGGGGGGGAGTAGGTTATAAATGAAGTAAATAAGTAACTTTTGTCTTTCGGTGATCTGATCTCAGTTCCAAACTGCAGTCTGTGTGCGTGTGTGTGTGTGCTGCATTGTGCATATGCACAGGGAGGGGGTGGCGCTGCTGTGACTATCAGGCTACACGGAGAGTGAACTTTCAGGTGGGATGCCTTCAGAGCACAGAAAGGTGCCTTGTCTTTTCAAACGTTTTCCCTATGATGATCAGTGTTATTTTTGTTAATAGAAGGAGTAATGATTTCACACTGAATTCAATTAACTTTTTCCAACCAGCTGAACAGCTTGCTCCCCCCCCAAAGTAACAGTGTTTGCACTCCTACAACCACTCTAAACTTAGACATCTTTTAAACATATACCACAGGTGGTTGGCGACTGAGAAGGAAACGGAGCAATTGCTCAAAATAATGGATTGCACAGGGCATGATGTGTGATCTGAGTTCTTACATTGTGGCTGATTTGGATTCTGGATGTGCATTCCAATCAGGCCCTCTTTGGGAAGTCCTTACTCTCTTCCCCTGCCCCACTCTTACACGAACTGAAGGGGAAGAATGAGGTTAAGAACCCTATTGTGCTGCTGGTGTCCCACAAAAGTAAAATAGGATGCGAATAAAGGAGCACACTTGAGGTTGATCCGGGCTGCTGAGCACCACCATCTCCCCCCCCCCCCCATACAATTCTGATCCAAACAAATACGCAAATCACTTGGCTTTCTGTTACTGTGAACAGGATAATAATTGTCAATTGGGTAAGAAACAGACTTTACTGATGATTCAGGGCACATTGCAATAGGGTACACAGCAGAAAACAAAATACACAAACTCCCAAAAAACAACCAACCAGGAGCAAGCAGAACCAGGAAGCAGAACTCCTCAGCAAAAAGACTAGCCAGAACACTGAAGTGCACTATCAGTTAAATAAAGGTAAGATACAAGTTACTTGGAAACAAGCCCCACTGAATAAAGTGAATAAAGTGAGACCCCAGTCTTACTCAACAAGTACTGATCTGCACAAATACTTTAAAATATCTCCACTAACCCAAAATAAAAAATGAGCAAACTCACAACAACGTGAAGATGCTTAATGGGAGAAGGAAGGCTGGTGAAATGGGAAAAGTCAGTTTTATCTCCCAGCAGGGCTGGTTGCAGGTTTTCAGAACCCCCTCCTCTGCCCAGGGGAGACAGTTCCCAGGGGGGGCCCTCTTCTGCCCACCACCGGGCAGGCACTCACGCCCTGTTTCCCTCCCATTCATCTGCATGCCTCCCACTTGCCTGTGTGTCCTTTCCTTGTCTTCGCACAAGCCCTCCCACTGCCCGTGCTCACAGTTGCCTGCAGTTCTTTCCCCAAATACATGTGGCAGGAGGCAAGGGTAGTAGAGTGCTGGCAAGGAAGTGGCCAGGGAATGCCATCATCCATGGGCCCTGCCAGAAACCCTGGGCCCAGGCAGCTGCCCTGCCTACCTCAGGGTATGCTGACGCTGGCCCTGTCATCC